TGTGTGTGTGTGAGTGTGTGTGTGTGAGAGAGTGAGAGAGTGTGAGAGTGTGTTAGAGTGTGTGTGAGTGAGTGAGTGTGTGTGTGTGAGTGTCTCTGTGTGTGTGTGTATGTGTGAGAGTGAGAGAGTGTGTGTGTGTGTGTGTGAGAGTGTGTATGTGAGAGTGTGTGTGTGTCTGTGTGTGTGTAAGTGTCTCTGTGTGTGTGTGCATGTGTGTGAGTGTGTGTGTGTGTGTGTGAGTGTGTGTATGTGAGAGAGAGAGAGAGAGAGAGTGTGTGTGTGTGTGTGAGTGAGTGTGTGAGTGAGTGAGTGAGTGAGCGTTTTTTTGATAAATGAGGACATAAATTTGTATAATGACAAAGGTATGACAGGTATTACAAGGAGAAGGTGACTTTTCAGGACATTAATCTCTAACCATTAGTCGTGGCCTAATGGTTAGAGAGTCGGACTCATAACCCAAAGGTTGTGGGTTCGAGTCTCGTACTGGCAGGGATTGTAGGTGGGTGTGTGTGTGTGTGTGTGAGAGTGTGTGTGTGTGTGTGTGAGAGAGCTTCAGCTACCTTATCCAGCACCACGTCTGAGATCTGCGGCAGACCCTCAGGTTTGTGCATGCTGGCGTTGATGAACCGGAAGCCGAGCAGAAACTCCCGGTCGTATTTCTTCTTCTCCTCGGGGTTCAGGGGTTTCCATTGTTCTGCGGGAAACAAGGACATTTTTATTAGCGATTCTGCTTTGATTCGGTCATGCATTTAATGCAGTTTAAAACACAGACAGTTTGTCGTTCCTAAGATACGGATTTTGGATTTTTTTGGACGTTTATTTCCTACCAGGATAAATGAAGAGTCACCTCTAAAACTATTAATGACATTATTTTTAAATTAATATGTTTTGTAATTATTGTAAATTAAGCACATAATATGTGTACATGTTTAAAAAATATGTACATGTATGTGTTTTGGACATGAATCAGTGTTATTTTAAGAATCAGCGAGATACTATTATAGTTCTTATTAATATTTTGAATTTATTTTTATATTTAGTTTTATTAAAATCGAGCACAGTGCACACAGCAAGGTGTTTTTATTGTGTTATTAAATGCTAGTATTACAGCACAGCAGCTTTGAAGTGCATCAGATGCTGATTTACCTTCTTTATACTGGTATTTCTGTTCGGTGGGTGAACTCAGGGTGGGACTCTCTGGTTTGATGTTTTCAGCATCAAGTTTATCTTCTTTCTCTTCCCAAGTCTCCTCCAGTTCTTCAGCAGGGGGCGGGGCACTCTCTGGCTCCGCCTTCACTGGGGGTGTGGCCTCTGGCTCAGGTGGTGTGGGCTTTAAAACAAGACAACAGCTCACTTCCATCTTAATGATACTATAATCACACCGAATCGAAGCAAAAAATTTGGACCGACATGAGAGTAAATGACGACAAAAGGTTAATTTTTTTAGTTTACAAAAAAACCCCCAAAAATATTAAGACATTTGGACCAACATGAGAGTAAATGATAAAACATTCATTTTTAGTTTACGCAAAAATGGAAATTATTTCTAAGTCATTTGGACCGACATGAGAGCGAGTAAATGATGACTAAACTTCAGGGATGTAACGATTAACCGCGAGCCGGTTGAAAATCGATTAACATATGTGACGATTCAAATCGGTTGAGATGCCAAACAAATCGCGATTCATTTAGGGGTAGGAGTTTATATGAATGCATGTCTGAGGGGAACTTACTGTCTTTAGAAAAGTTTAGATGGTATTTTTTCTCTTCATCTTGCCTCTGTATAATGCATATTAAAGTTCATAAGTGCAGCGCTGCTTTGTTTACAGCAGAAACCAGGAACCTCTTTATGCGCCGCCTGCTGGCAGAGAGTGCATCTGCGTCTCATTCAGCTCGTCTGCTGTTTCGGTTTCATGCAGATATTTTTATGTATAGTTTCACAAAACTGAAGTCAAACCATTCTGTTTTTGCTTCATATTTCAAAACTATACAATCTAATTTAGATTAAAAACTGCTCGTGTTGCATGTGTGCAGCATCTTTGTTTGAATCATGATTAAAACACAGTGGTTGCCTCTGATTTTAAATGTTAAGAGCACAGACAAAGCCTTATTTTGTTCATATAAAGAGATTTATTTTATTTGTGTTACTTATTTATTTGATTTGGGGCTTGTTTTAAAATTTAAATTTAGTTTTGTTATTTACATTTACTAAATTATTATAGTGTTATATTTCAATTTGACAAAGAAATGTGCAGCATTTTGTCCAAGCAATAATAAAAGAACACATTTAATTTATAATTTGCCTTAAATCTCATTTTGTTGTGAGTTCGTGAGTTGAGTGAATCGTTACATCCCTACTAAACTTGCATTTTAGTTTATGCAAAAATGAATTATTTACAAGTCATTCTACTGACATGACAGCGTTTATTGTTAGTTTACACAACAATGAAAATTGTAAGTCATTTGGTCGGATGTGAGAGTGAGTAAACGATGACTAAATATTAATTTTCTGTTATGCAAAAATGACAACAAGTCATTTGGACTGACGTGAGTGTTGAGGTGTTCAGGTGTGTGTTCATTACCTGTGGAGACGTGGGTGTGGAGCCGCTGCGACCTCCTGACATGATCTCTTCTGTGATGTCCCGACCTCCCTGATTAGGGTCTCTGATCCTGATCTACAGAGAAACATTCAACACACGCAACAGAAGGAATGAGAACATGGCTGAGAGAGAGAGAGAGAGAGACATTAACATGCAGCACATGAAAAGACTAAAGCACGAATAAGTCACGATATAAACAGAAAAACAACAACAGCGAGTGATTTAACCCAAGAAGCATTTCTCAGTGCTGTGAGAGACTAAATATGCTACGAATGTCTCTGACACACACACACACACGCACGCACGTACGCACGCAGTGCAGCACCTTATAAAGAAGCAAATGCACAACAGCCTGGAAACTTTCCTCGCACAAACTCAAATCTGACTGTTTGCCCGACTTATCTGCACTTTACGCAAGGAATTATACATCGACTCACCAGCTCTCCGAGTCAAACACACACACACACACACACACACGCATGAGGCAGCACATTCCCTACCTTCCTCCCCTCGGATGGAGAGGTTGAGTTCTGCTAGGCCCGGCTCATCCTGGGGCTGGAGTTTAAACTCAGCCTAACTCAGACACACTAAAGAGGGCAGCACATTCACACACTGCCTGGGCCGAAGTGGGCCTCAAACTCCCTCTCACAGGAGAGGAGGTGTGAGAGTGAGAGAGAGAGAGAGAGAGAGAGAGAGAGAGAGAGAGAGAGTTTGGCCTTGTGAAATGAGTGCACAGGAATGTGGAACGCCCACCACACTGAACAGAGAGAGAGAGAGAGAGAGACGGGGTGGAGACTAAGAGCCACGTGGAGCGACAGAACTGAACCGGATGACTCTACAGAGAGACTGACTAAGAGTTTGGGACTTTTTATCAAGCATAAAAGTAACCGTAAAGACAAAAAATACGATGCATCACCGTTTCCATGAAAATATAAACTGTGTTCAACATTGATAATAATCAGAAATGTTTCTTGAGCAGCAGATCAGCATATTATACTGATTTCTGAAGATCATGTGACACTGAAGACTGGAGTAATGATGCTGAAAATACAGCTGCGCATCACAGAAATACATTACAGTTTAACAGAGATTCACATAGAAAACAGCTGTTTTACATTCTAATAATATTTCATTCCTTTTACTGTGTTTTTAATCAAATAAATGCAGCTTTGGTGAGCAGAAGAGACTTGCTACTAATTTTTCTACTATATTACTAGCAAAAAAAATAAAAATACCATAAAAATAAAATAGAAATAAAAACAAAATTCTCTTATACAGCATTTATTTTTATTAACTCCAAATACAGCTCATCGTAAAATGAACGTTTGAATGAGCAATTCTAATTTTGTATCAAAATTGTATCTAATTTTGTATAAATTCTAATATTGTTCAGATGAAGTAATTTATCTAATATTTCGATTTTATTTCAGATTTATTTAAACTAACAAAAATCTTTTTAATAGTTTTAGTTTTAGGTAATAATAACCCTGGTTGCAGTCAGTGTTGGGTCAGTTACGCATAAAAGTAATTCATTACTAGTTACTAATTACATCTTCAACAGTGTAATTAGATTACTGTACTAATTACTCTCTCTAGAAAGTACTGAATTACTAATTATTTTCCACATCAACCTCAACCAGTTGAACAATACAAGAACAGACCTGAAACCACACGTTTAATTCTTTAAAATAAATCATATAAAATTGCATAAATTATTTTTGAATTGACCAAATAATTAAAACGGAGAAGGTTTTCATTTGACCCTCTAACTCTATAGCACTCTCTATTCTAATTCTAAGAAAGAAAGAAAAAAAACTCGACCCTCTGACACTCTCTATTCTATTTCTATTCTTACTACTTGTTTTCTTTTTATTTATTATAAAAAAGACCCTCTAACACTAGCACTCTCTATTCTTTTGACTTGTTTTATTTTTACTAAAAAAGGGGAAAAAAGAAAAGAAAAAAAACCCTCTAACACGTGCACTCTATTCTATTTCTATTCTAACTACTTGTTTTATTTTTATTTTATTTATTATAAAAATGACCTTCTAACACTAGCATTTCTATTCTATTTCTATTCTTTTGACTTGTTTTATTTTGATTAAAAACAGAAAAAAGACCTAAGACTCACACTCTATTTTATTTCTATTTTTACTACTTGTTTTCTTTATATTTATTGTAAAAATGACCCTCTAACACTAGCATTTTCTATTCTATTTCTATCCTTACTACTTTCTTCTTTTTATTTATTATAAAAAATGACCTTCTAACACTAGCATTTTCTATTCTATTTCTATTCTTTTGACTCGTTTTATTTTTATTTAAAAAAATGAAAGAAAAAACCCTCTAACACTTGCACTCTCTATTCTATTTCTATTATTTTTACTTGTTTTATTTTTATTAACAAAGGAAAGAAAAAAAACCCTCTAACACGTGCACTCTATTCTATTTCTAGTCTAACTACTTGTTTTATTTTTATTTTATTTATTATAAAAATGACCTTCTAACACTAGCATTTTCTATTCTATTTCTATTCTTTTGACTTGTTTTATTTTGATTAAAAACAGAAAAAAGACCTAAGACTCACACTCTATTTTATTTCTATTTTTACTACTTGTTTTCTTTATATTTATTGTAAAAATGACTATCTAACACTAGCATTTTCTATTCTATTTCTATTCTTATTACTGGTTTTCTTTTTATTTATTATAAAAAATGACCTTCTAACACTAGCATTTTCTATTCCATTTCTATTCTTTTGACTCGTTTTATTTTTATTTTAAAAAAATGAAAGAAAAAACCCTCTAACATTTGCACTCTATTCTATTTCTATTCTTACTACTTGTTTTTTTAAATGACCCTCTAACACTAGCGTTCCCTATTCTTTTTCTATTCCCTATTTTTTCTATTCTATCTACTATTATATAAACCCTTGCTCCGTGTACTGCGTTAGGCTAACCGAGACTCTTTTATTGGTCTGACTGCTTCTATTGTCCTCATCTGGATAAAAGCGTCTGCTAAATGACTAAATGTAAATGTTTCATTAAAAACATTAGTTGTTACACTTTGATGTTAAATCCACTATATGTTTTATAGTCTATACTGCATTTAATGCAGTTACATCAGAGGCAACTGTAATTAAATGACATAAAAATGTCGAGTAATCCCTTACTTTAATATTTCAATGCAAAAGTAGTTAAATTGCAGTGATTAATGCATTGCACCCAACCCTGGTTTCAGTTTTCTCTCTCTCTCCGTTTCTATTCCTCTGAAGTGAAACCTCAGTGAGGCCCGAGAGCGAGACTCGAGGACTCGGTGTCCACCGGTCCAGCTGTGAGCTCCCAGAAAGCCTGATAACAGCACAAACCCACGCTCAACACGTCACACACTCAACTACTCAAAGTTGCTGGTCATAAGTATAGAAATAATGTAGCTTAAATGTCTCGATTACTTCATTTGCAGAGCTTTATGGGAGTGGACGTCACTGCAGATCTATCACATTATAAACATTTACAACGTGTCTGTAGTAAAATGATTTATTCAAGCATACACTGGATAATGACGACGACTGTTTACGTAAACGTTTAAGGAATATGTAATCGGTCAATGAGTTTGGCACTCCAAAACGATTTTGGTAGAAATCGAAATTTCACAATTTCTGGTTGCTGATATTTCTGTGCATCACTAGGATGAACCAAACCAAAATACACTAAAATGCATCCAAAACACAAGAAACAAGCATCCAAACACTGCCACAGAA